AGATCTCATGTTAATAAAAAATATTTTTAGCAAGAACATCAACGATGCGCACTTACTGGATTCGGTGGTCGAACAGTCCATTGGCAGGTTTAAATAGGTCCGATTATATTAGCCTACTGCACAACCAAGGCTGCTTATTTCGCATGAAGGCAGACTTCTTCTGCGATCTTCAGAACATTATGAAAATAGCATTGTGATTGAAGGATATAGTCTGAAGCAAACAGTAAGATTTGCACATTTCATCAATTGTAGAGAGGCTAATGGCATTTATCCCTCGAAAATGATGATTATCCTCAATCACTCTCCTTTGAATCTCTCGCAGGCGGATTACATTATTGGCAATGACCTTGTTTACAAGCTCCCTCTCTTGCTCCTCCGACAAAAGCCTTAGCCTGCCTCCACCAGGTGGTCGTCTCTGTGTCCTACAAAAATAGAAGCACTCATTACTGTAACTGTCACACATCCTTTTTACAGGAAAAAATGGAAACATACTGAAACTCTATCTGTATGCGAGGAAATTTTATGCATTTCTTTATTACAGTAGCATAGTGCAACAGTACTCGTTGCCCAGCCTCCCTCATAGTCATACCATGGACAATTGTTCCAAAACTGAATGAAATGACTTGGGCTCTTTTATCTATCTATTGAAGGTTCTGATTGGTGTGTGATAAATTTTGACTCTTAAGCCTGTGTTATACTTTCCGCATGAGCAATCCGGATGCGTACACAGACAGCGCGGATGCGGACTACTTGTATTTATACTTCCGAAACCATACGCTGATGGTCCGCTCCGCGGACGTGTTCCATACATGCGTAGTAGATCGGCTTGAACAATAAACAAACATGTGAACAAAGAATTGCCCAGAGTTATTGCACATCTGGCTGTCTTTATATTGTTTTATCGACGGATTGTACAGGTTCGAGTAGCAACGGGCTTCTTCACACAGCCAGCGCATGCGCAGTAGCCTACTGTAGCCGTACTGGACAAGTACACGCGGTCACAAAAAATGGGAGGCACGCGGATGTCCACTCAGAGCCTCCGCGCACACTCTCCGATGACGATTTTTACGTCATGCATACCATAGCGGACCCTAGCAGACTAGCGGACTCGCGGACGCGGAAAGTATAACACAGGCTTTAGTGTTTCCACGTGGGTAACTGTGTGCTAATTGAGCTCAAGCTATGCTGACTTGAGTGAACAATATTGAATGCTAGTGCTTTCTAAATGACAACATGGTCTAGGCAATGAGAAATGAAGGGATTTGTGTGTAGAGTTTTGCAGTGACAGTTCAACAAATCTGATTCATGTGTCAAAAAGGGGAATAGTGTTTATAGTTTAGGGAAATGGGTGTGCTTTTTGATAAATGGCGTTATGGTTTTGAAATTTTAGTTCAAAAGCCTGGTGATAGTGTTTAAGCAATCGAGAAAAACTGTAAGACAATATTGACTGATTAGACCTAAGATGCAAAATGTTTGTCCTCTCTCTCTTCAGCGTTCCCACATCTCAGATCTCAAATACATAAAATATTACCCCTTTATACATAGTTTTTGAAGTAAAGAGTAAAGAAAACACTACACAAAACTAGTTTAACCAACTAGGGTAACCAGTCTTACTTTTCCAATGCATATAAGACCAATCTACCTTTTCATAACTGAATTTATGACCAGTCTTGAAGAAAACAAATTAGATTGCTAACTTTTTAAGACTAAACACTTTCATCCATAAAAACACTTTCTCATTGGATCTAAGCAAATCTCACGGGTGACCTATTTTGAGCTCAAAAAAGTGAGTCATCACTGAAAGATACGATGAGAAATGATGATTGTGCAATAGAGAAATTCAGATGGGCCCAGGAAATATAATTTTCTTATTAAAGCAACAATAATGTTGAAATTAGTCTCATAACTGCAATGCAGTCAGCAAACCTGGAACTACTCTGTCAGCCGGTTATTTTTGTTGTTGACTAGGGAATAGCAAACCACTTTCTTTCATAGTACACCACTGATTCATATACACATGAAATTATTCATATAAACTTGAGCTCACTTCCCTTTGGTCCATTAGTAGACCCGCTCGATCAGAGTTATTGCAAAACCCTTTACAGACAATGAATACAATATGGAACGTATTACACTGATTAAATATATAATTTAATAGTCAAACTCAGAAAGACCTCTCCCAAAGCACAAAATAACTTGGAAAAATACAGTATAAAAAATCTGCAGTTTCCATTTAAAGAAAAAAAGGTGTAATTTCACAATGTATTTTTTTATGATTCATTTGAGAAGGACAGGACATAATTAGATGAACAGTTTGAACAAACGGAGTGTCTCCAGCGGTCAGAACTAGAAATAGAGCCGTTCTTGCTCCGCTTTTCATCGAGATGCTACAGAATAAAAGAGTTCATTTGACTAGACACGGGATGATATCTTCCTATCGATGCGTCTACCAGACACTGTTCGCTCTGATTGTTCTTATCAGTTTCAAACATACTTGGTATGAAAGCAAAAGATGTGCACAGTGGAAAAAAGGCAAAGAAACAAAACAAGTCACTTCCTGAATTTTCCTAGTTTTAGGCCTCTACAAGTTGTAGTCTGTATCATGTCAACCATGCTTAAAAAACACGCAGTCACAAAAATAAATCACATCATTTAAAACAATATACAACCTCAATTTTACGCTCAACAAATACTGCAAAGAGCTCAATTCTTTTGGTTAGATTACCTCTGGTCCATCAGGAGCGACAGGTACAGTTCAAGAGCTCTAATCACAGATATTCTGTGCAGAAAAGTGACTCTGTTCACAGCTGTAAGGCAAGGCAAGGCAAGTTTACTTATATAGCACATTTCATACACAATGGTAATTCAAAGTGCTTTACATAAAAGAAACAAGGCAAGTTTATTTGTATAGCACATTTCATACACAATGGTAATTCAAAGTGCTTTACATAAAAGAAAAGAAAAAAATAATCACAACAATAAAACAAGGAATTTAAAAACTTTGAAAATTATTAAAAAATTGATTTAAATTAAATTTAAAACAGTTAAGAATAGAAAACGATTATACATACAATATAGTGCAATCAGTTTGGATGTAGTACAGTGCTCATTCAGTAAATGCACAACTAAACAGATGAGTTTTGAGTCTGCATTTAAATGTGACTAATGTTTTAGCACATCTGATCTCTTCTGGAAGCTGCTTCCAACTGCGGGCGGCATAATAACTAAAAGCAGACTCCCCTTGTTTTGTGTGAACCCTTGGTATTTCTAACTGACTTGATCCTAATGATCTGAGTGGTCTATTACGTTTATATTCAGTGAACATATCTGCTAT